AAAAATGCACCACCTCTAGCGCCTTCTTGCCGTATTTCTGAGGTGCCAGATACGGGCCTAAAACACCAGCAGGAGCTGCAGTCAGAATGGCGTTGATTACATTCGGAAAGATGCCGAATTGCACCCGGGGGAACCCACGTTTTGGAATGGCCCATTTTAGGGGGGTCACCCCGTTGATTCATCGGGGGGAATCCTTCACTTACGCTCCCCGCTTGCAATTCACCAAGGGTGGACCAGTTTTTTTCCTTTGCGCTGTGGTGAAGACTGGTTCATGCGGGCTATGGCTTCTCAAGTTGATGGGCAACATGGCTCAGTCCAGAATCTTGGGGAATTTGAAGGTAAGTTTTCTGTAACACCAACCACCAAAAAAAGTGTAACTAATTAGCTCGAGCGCCCCAACAGGATGTGCCGAACGCAACACTATATACTGCAAAGTGGGCCGCTTTCTGGTGCTCAGCAGGGAATGAGGGAATGACCCCTATAAGCCGTCGCGTGTGATTTCCCTTAATAGGGACCAAAGCCTGGGATCCTTCCACTTCTCATTCCCTACTTATCGCACCGATCGCAAGGCCAAAAGAAACGCAGGGAGAACAAGAGGGAAACACCAAGACAATAACCGCATTATTTGAAGGGGGGGTTCTGACAAAGACGTGGCCCAGCAACGGGACAATCACGGCAAATCCTTGGCGCAAAAAGGGCCTTAGCCCAAGCCGCCCTTCACGTGGCTGTAGTAGGGATAGTCCTCTGGAACCTCTGGCTCACGGAAACAACAACAAGGCGCTCATTTCCTGGCCGGTGGCCATGGCCAGAAAAAGTCTGAAGGTCTTTCTCAAGAAAATGGAATCCCAAAAAGTGACTAGTCCAACTCAGAGGCCCAGTGGCCGTGGAAAAAAAGGGCACCCTTTTGGCACACGGCGGGCGACGAGTTCGCCAGCTGACGGAGGGGCGTGCCGCCCAACCATCTGAACAGGCCTGGTGGGACGGGTGCCCACCAGTGACACATACCACAGCCATCGCTGTGGAGAAAAGATCTGGCACTCAACGCGGTGAGGATGAAACATAAGCCAGAGCGCCACCACAGGGGCTGACGGCATCAGGTCACAAGCGTAGTCAGCAAAGCATCCACGGCATTGAGCCGGGACTGCATGGTTCGCTTCATCGGGGCTTGCCAGTAGGACAACACGATGCCCTTCAGCACAATGCCCAGGGCGCCAAGCATCTGCACAAACTTCACCATGCCATTGGGAACCCCACACTGCCAAGCGGATTCGGAAATCTGCTTGTACACGTACCCAAGTCGGGAAAGGCCAGCATCCAGGGCCGCACAGGCGCTAAGAAGGCAAAGCCAAAGCCAGCTCCCACCACCACTGCAACCACTGTACTGCTAGGTGAGGAAAGCAAACGAAAAGGCCCGAGGAAAGTCGGCATAAAATGCTGTTGCTGGGCACCGTCACGTTGAACAGATACCGGTTGATTATCAACCCCACAAGTCCGGTAGATGAGGATGTAGCAACGCCCAAAAGCCGAAACACTGTACAACTGTAGGTCTCCAGAGAGGCAGCAGCACCACAAAGTATAAATCACAGTGGAACTCCCGGGGAGGGACCATGAGGTTTGCACCCGGCACCTGGGGCATCAAATCGCCACCGTGAGAGGAGGGGGCCGAAGAACAGGACCCATCCCTAACGCAGGGATGGGCACATGCAGCGGAACCCCACCAAAGCAATCCACACACCAGGACCAAAGCGAAGCAGCCATCAACGAAAGAGACCAAGCCAGGGGAAAGGGCGACACCACCAAAAAGGGGGAACAGCACGCCAACAGCACAACGGGCACAGCAGGGAGGTCACTAGGGGGCCCCGCGCACGAAAAGCGGGGCACTGTGGAGGAGACCACAGCTTGGTGGACGACCAACGCACCATGGAGTGTCGCAGGTCCCCGGGGGCCCTACTCCCTGAGCTGAATGGATTTGGGCCAGACAGCTAAAAGGGCACCCTTTTTGTGTTGGTTGAGTTTAAAGGCGAACTTCCCCAAAAAAGGGGAAAAAAGCTGGGCAACAGAGCTAACCAACTCAGGGAGTGAGCTTGAGAGAGCCGGCACCCTTGGCCAGTGAAATAGCACAAGTTTGAAAAAACAACTGCAGCGTGTGGCAAAGCAGTCCGATCCTGTATTGTACTTTACCAGGCTTGTCCCGTTCTTGTCACGGGGTTGCCTTGTAGCTCACGATCGTGGTTGTTAACCTATGTTTGATCATTCGGGCGAAGGCTTGCTTACACTCTGTTGTCAAGCTAGATACGGAGTTGGATCCTTGGAAAACGTTATGTTCCTTCAGCAGCAGGCTTGTCTCCTTTCTGTTCGTGCCGGATTGCCATTTAGCTCCATATGATTGCTAACCTATCTTGTGAAGTCCCTTCATTCAGGGTATGCTGCCCTGAAGACCAACGCCTGGGGTCAAAACGGACAAATCAGAAGCGCGGATCTCCACCCGTCCCTCCACACC